AATGATGGAAGAAAGAGAGGGAGAAATCCTTATTTTTGCAGTAAATTTTTAATGTGAGATTGGGCAAACTGGGCATTGAATTGTTCAGTTCTATAACCACAGCCCCCAAATCACACGTGTAGCTCTGTGTGAGTGAATTTTGCACGTGTACGTTCTGTCAGGGAGTCATAACAGTTCCTACATCAGTTTGCAGTCCTCAAAACATCTCTAAATCCAGTGCTATTTACCAGCCTCACCTGTATATGTTTAGCGTTGAGCTGCTTTCTTGCAATGCTAATGCTTTTCGGAAATGTCCTGCATTACACTTTAATTTCCTGATCGTTGGTTTCTTTTAATGACTCTGAAATTTATTTTAGAGAAGAAAGCGATGACAATCAAGAATACAGGGGACTGCATTTGAGGACTGGAAGCAGAGTAGAGAAAGGAGCCTTTCACTTCAGAGCTGCTGGTAGGAATCCAGCTCAGTTTCAGACTTAGCAAAAATCATTACTGTGTGATGGCTTCTTGGTGCCCTGCGCTCTACGTCCACAAATGAGTCAGTGTCCACATCACACAAACCACCAGAACAATTGGTGTTACTGTAATTGGGAGTCTACTGGCAGCATCAGTGGAAAGGGCAGGGACTTGAATGAGCATGGAAAATGAGCGGCTTTCTCCCTGCTCCCTCAGGTCACCTTTGAGACACATCTGTGTGAGGAAGCTTAGAAGAAATTCAATCTGTGGTAGCTCCCTTCTGGAGATAGATGGAAGACTTTACTGTTCCAGTACTGATGATCTGACACCCGCTAACAAACATGTTCAAGAAAAAAAAAGATCATTACAGGATCGTTTAATATGTGAAAGTATAAACTAAAAAAAAAATCCTAAGTACGATTGAAAAATCAACAATAAAATCCGACTTGAAATAATAGGAACAGAGCCAAACAAGTATTATCAAGCATGACCACTGATGGCAACAATTGCTTCCTTCAAAAACACAGGGAAATCCTGCTCTTTTATTAAACCATTGAACAATCTCTTCGAGTTGAATCCCTTCTAGGCAAAAATAAAGGAGTGCTTCCACTGTTCAAACATTCTCTTTGGAGATGAGAACGTGGCTTGATAGAAGAGATGTTGGACTTTATTCAGCCTGAGATGATGCCTTGATGTCATGGAAACAGCGACTGGAGGGAGAGCTCTCAGTAGCACAGGACACCATAAAGAGAGTGCCTTTAGAGAGGGCTGGGACTGCCAGCGTGCACGTGAATCAGTGGTGGAGGTTGGAAGGGACCTCTGGAGGTCATCTGCTCCAACCTCTGAACTTGGCACTTCCACTGGCTCGTCTGCTCTGAAGTAGGGAGGTCCTCATCTTAGAATTTATATGCTACCATTAATAATCCTAAAAAAACCTGCCTCTGGCAGGAAGGTGTTCGTGTACTACCAGAGATGAATTTAGCCCCATAGTTCCTGTAAGCTTCAAACAGTTAGGCTGTGAAGATGTCTCTTAATATGCTGAAATGACACAATCGCATATGCTGATTACAGTGGTGAATGTGATATGAATTTTTGACTAAGTGAAAGTAAAAAGAATGTGTTTGATGTCAAATAAGTGCATTAGCAAATCTGAAATGTTCTGAGACAGCTTGGACTATTTGTGAATTCAAACCTAATTCAACTAAAAATAAAATAGAAACTTCAAGTTGAAGTTTTCCACTGCAGTTCCTCAAAAACAAAACATTTTGACTTTTCATGTTAAAACAGTTCAAAAACTTAATTTAAATAACTTTAAATTGTTTTAAGAGCACCTCAGACCCAGAAAGTTCATTTCTCAGTATTTGTTTTGGTGTGTGGGAGCGAGGAAATTCAGAGCAATGCAATACAAAAATATATGTGTGTTTGAGTGTGTACATGTGTTGGGGGGGGGGGGGGGTGGTGGAGGGGGGGGGAGCGGAGGATCGCGCCGGGGGACCCTTCCTA